CCTATCCTATTTTCCTTTCCCTAATACCCATATAACCACCATTTCCGTAAGACAAAATGCCGGAACTAGGCGTATATGAGGTGCACTACTTAAACTAACTTTGCCAGTTTTTGTTTAGTTTTTAGTTCATCATCTAGTTTTATTATTTCTAGCTTAGTTTAGCTAGTTATGTTTAAGTAAACAACACTATTGCTTACAGGGAACACTTACCGATTTTAACTCAACTAGTCATATTGACTTTCGGACCGAGCCTAAAATGTTTCGTTTCGTGCACATTGTTGCGTTCATTTGTTTACAAGGTAAATAAAAAGCTCAAAATTGCAACTGTTCTGTCCATTTCAGTCCCGTTCCGTAGAACTAATAGGATGCACCTCGCCTGTATAACGAAGCACGGGCAAAACTGACTTGTAGGGCCCCCTCTAAATATCTATTCCCCCGCCAAACTGTCCAACGTGTGTTGTGGTCAAACATTTAATTTTTGGTTAGGGAGTGTACATAAATATTTAATTGTGGTGGAAGTGATCAAAAAATATTGAATTTAAGGAAATTATATTTGTTTCAATGTACTAAATTAAATCAAATCCCTCAAAACAACCTCCTGTTGCTCAGGAGACTGATGTCAGTTGAGGGAAAGTCAACCTTATTTTGGAGGAATTTAACGAAAAAGGGGAATTAGACCGAATACTGGCGGTATTTAACGACAAAAGGGAAAGTCGGGTTACTGAAAATGTACAGGTAGGTTATTGTTATAATTCAAAGGCAAAAATGACTTCTAAGGACAGTCCTGCCGAAGCGCGTAACATACCAGCAGTACGGTAATTTATAACTTCGAACGCGTGCGAATACTGGGCCGGTCAGACGACCAAACATCACGCCTGCTGTGGGAAGCATGGCATTCACGCGCGGGCTCAATTAACAGGCATATCGAGCTTCCAGATGCCTACCTCGCGTTGCGCGAGCAGATCGATGGCAGAGGTCAATCTCGGCAGAACCGACTTAATTAAACTGTGAACTGTACGTTTTTTCATTCCTTGACAATGAGCTCGCGGGAGAGTTCGAAACGTTGGACAAATACACTCCTGGTCCCAGAGGACGTCTTGCCTTCTTCTATTCAGTTACCTGGGCCTCACATATTCTCGACCATTCAGAATAATTTATAACTACATTCCTGATCATAGTTCCATGAAAATGCCAAGTTTTACTTCTGAGATTTTTGTGCTACCTTCCTCCTAGGTATATTCGCTCTGTGATCGGTCCTCCTCCTACCTACTGTTTGTCCTTGGTCGACTCGCATCGCCCCTTCGCGGTTTTGTTCAATGTCTTTCATGAGCGCCCAACTCACATCCGTTCTGTTTACCTGTGCTCCTCCACTCATCCACTCATCCACACACACACCCACCCACCCACTACCACCTTGATTTTTAGACAAGCAAACCTGGCTGTGGTCTCTTTTTTTTAAAACAAAACTGACTTTCCCACTGACACACACACGCACTGGCACTACTGTAGTGCGAAGCAGGTCGCACGTATACAACGTCGCCTCCTGCCCTCTTTTGGTCATTTCAGAAGTTCCCCTTTAAAGTCTGTTGCCACTTCTTTCTGATAAAAGGCTGCATCTTTCTGCCCTCCTCGGTTTCTCTCTATTTCAGTGAAGTTAGTATTTTTCTTTGAATGCCGTATGCTAATCATATGCGCTTCTGTGTGTGCGAGTTGTTGTTACGAGTTCCCGTGAGGAGGCGTTGCCACTGTGATTGTGTTTAAGAACAGACCACTCCCCAGATCCGCTTTTTGTGTCGGGCTCGGTTAGACTTACTGCTCTTTGTAGTTTGTGGAATGGACGCGTTATGGACCGTTACTATCTAAGAGGGTGGAATACGGCAAACTGCTCGACATAAGGGCATGTTTGGGACTTGTGCACTACTTTAAAAACG